TATTATTATTATTATTAACTATTATTATTAATTATTATTATTATTAACTATTATTATTAATTATTATTATTATACTGTCTTTTTCTCTCAAATTTCGACAACCTCCTCATATTTTTGACGGATAGTTATGATCGAAAGATTTTCTGAATTTACCAAATATCCATCAGAATTTCCTGGATCATTGCATATATGTAGTGTAGTTTGATAGGGATGTTAAATTTCGAGAAAATGATTATTTCAATTTCGAGAATTTTTGATAAAATTTGAAGGAAACGGCTACAAAAAGAATTTTGAAAATGTTTTAATTCAGATAAAAGACTTCTCAACAAAAATGCAAAATGGTCAACTATATGGATGGCTATAATTGGGATAGCATTGTTAACTTCTCTGTCGATTGATAATACCTGCTCGTTACAGCGATCGATTCATCCGTTACCTTCATATCTTACAGCAGTTTGTTGTTCGAAATAATACGATAAATAGAATTCAATGATATATGTATATAATTTGATAATGAATTAAAGATGAGGTCGACATGAATAAATTGAAATAAAAATTAAAATGTTTAAAATAAATGTAAAAGTGATTTGAACGGATCATCTTAATTGAACTGCTGCTCTCTAAACCGTTATTTGTGTGACAAATAAAATGACAGGATAATGGATAAATAAATATAAGTGCAATTTCTAGTGAAATAATTCGAATTCTTATTTGATTCAAACATTAAAGTATTCTTATCATTAAGGATATAGGACAAACGAACATTTGTCTATTTGCTGTAAAATTGAACTCTGATCCAATATCATTAGAAATAGTTTGAATTTCATGGTTCTCTGCTTGATTTTAGTGGAAATTATGTAATATAATATTAAATGTAATATAATTCTATATTAAAAATTAATACTACTTTTATACAATGCTTGGAAAAATATCCATAAACAACATTCATTTTTGAAAACCTGGAATTGAAAATTTTTCTTTTGAATACAATAAAATACGATGAATAAAGAAGTGAAAAAAAAAAAATGAATGGATGAATGAAGGGGAGAGAAGAATTGTACAGTGAAAGAATGGAATAAATTTACAAGATAATGATACTTTTGAATCTTAATATGAATATAGACATATCGGATGAAATATATGATCAAATATATCAGCAGATGGTTGAAGATTCGGAACAAACATTCCTTTGGGCATTGCGATCATGACGATAGAAGATGAAGAAATGTTTCTCGCAGTTATTGTTAAATTTATACATAACATCAGTTTCATCACTCATACAAGTAAGAATTCAAATAAAATTTGAATATGAAACTAACCAGAGAAATTTCGACAGAATACATTACGATTCATTATGTTGGAATTGAACTATCATGAATTGCTTTACTGGACAGCAGAATGAGGTCTTATTTCACGCATTTCAGTGTCCAATTGTGAAACCTGAAGTCGTAGCATCGAAGAAGAACCAGCACTATTATGTAATGATCGAACTGTTGGAACATGTACTTCATTGCCAACTTCGATAGCACCACTTCCCGTATCACGAACAATTTCTCTTGTGTCTCTTATGAATCCTGAGGAAACTGTCATCTTTGCGTGCTTAGTACCTAACCGTACAGCATTCTCAACCTGGGATCGAATGCCACGTAATTCTTCTGCTATTAGGTTCTTTAAACCGTCATTACCAATTATTTTCGGCAGTTGCTCATCTAGAAAAAGCGATTTGATAATTCTAATGAAAAGATAAAAATTTTCCAATTTTTGAAGTGAAAAAAAAGCCTGTTTGCTGGATGATTTCATGGAATGTTAATTGATAGATCGATTATTAATATTTATCTGATTAAAATTTTCAAATCATACATCCATCATACTTCAATGTCTTGTCCAAAATTTTTCTTTAACCTCAATTGTCATTATTTGCTAACGGGAAAAAATACAAACATGCAGTCAATAATAACTTATTCTCATGATAATAACGCTCTCACCAATTCTAATAAATTTGATAATTAAATTACAAAACTTCCATGGATTTTTAACCATACCCAAAAACCTAATTCAATCTAGAAAAATCATCCCGACATCTCTATGACTAATTTTTGATTGAAGGAAATAAAAAAAATTTTGGACTTACCGATCACGAGACCAATCCTCTGTTTCACTATACCAGCCATCATATCCATATCATTCAACCGTGATTGTAAACATGACACTTGCTCTTGCAAAAGCTCAATCATCTAAATGGATCTTCTAACCAGAAAGTTTAATGATGGAAAATAACCATAGTTACATGAACAAGGTAACTAATTTACCTGGAAGTAAAACAATTACAATGAGCTAACCTCGTTTGAAGCTTTCATACCGAAATGACCACCTTTGCTGTAATTTACTTGTGGACGAATCAATCCTGTAACGAAAGCAATGCAAAACGGAACATTTTTCGAAAACAGCTCCTTTCGCGACTTTTACAATATTCGTATTACATCTATGAATTGGAGAACAAAATAACTGATTTACAAGTTAAGCCAGAACATTCGTAGGCTTTGACAGTGAGCCCGAGTTTTCACCCGCAATAAAGCGGCAAACGATACCACATTCTAACTCTACTACATAATTCAAATACTAATATTACTTCGCATTAATTTTTGAAGAATTTCGAAAATATCTTTAAATTAAAAACAATATCATTAGGTCCATAAGATATTATAACATTCATTAAGTTACCTCTTTCAATCATGGTTCGATCCGAAAGAGTATCTACAATTTTAGCAACAAATGATTTGTTATCACCGTGTTGATGCCTATTTTCCCCGCCATTATAGAATATCATTCCTGACGATGGGAACTGTTTTGGTGGACTTGCTTTTGATTTTTCCATAGCAATTTTCGTCTCGACAATATCCTTCGTTCGATTTGGATGTACCACTCCAGCGACTGTTATATTTTCGAAATTTGTAACACTAAGAGTTTGCGGTACTTCAAACTTCTGTAAGAGTTTACAATCAAAATGACACAGAAATTATAATTGTATCACACAATCACGCAATCACAAGCATGATGAGTTGACTTTTAATCTGAACAGCTAATATTAAAATAAGCAAGGGAAGAAGTAAAAAAATACCCCAACCCGTCGAAAAAAAAAACGATTGAGCAATAAATGTTGTAATTCACAAATGATAGCAATCTAAGCAAGAGAAATGTTCTAAAAAATTAGAAAAAAAAATTGTACTTTAGGTGATTTGATATGTAGAGCGTACTGAATTAAGGAATGCGCATCAGCTACTGGTGGATAGCGCATTAAATACTGCAATGTTGTGCTATAATCTTCATTGATAACTGAAAATATGATCCAACATTAATATTACTGAAAGAGACTATGTGATATGGGATTGATGATTAAAATTTAACAATACCTTTCACAATAATTTAACAATAATGTAGTCACAGCAATGTTTTCTATATAATTACGAGATAAATTTGAGAAAAATTTTTCTAACTTACTTAAATGCCTAATGTATTCGAGCATTGCGACAAAAATATAATCAACTAAAGATAATGATGGTCTGAAAGCGAATATAGCATCCCATACAAATAACAGATCGTGAATCGGAAACTCGCGACTAAACAATAACCGTAACCAACGACTGAAAAGAGTTCAATGAGTAAAGTTTCAAAAATTTTTCACAACTCGAATTCGTGATTCCTTTGTAGGAGCATACTGAACTAAAACTTTTGGTCTCTAAGATTTTAATTATGAAATATTTCAAAACAATCTCCCATGCGTAGTTAATTTTGCAACCATAATCGATAATTTATTTCTCGAGTCATGTTAACATCTAGTTTCTGCATGTACTTATAAATGTCATCACATGATGTTTTGATCTTTGTAATTCCAAGAGGGATATGGGAAATTATTTGTAGATTACAGAAGCTGGAAAAAAATTGATGTGGTAGGTCAAAAGGAAATTTTAACTAACATTCCATAAATTTGTGGCAAAATGTTCAATTTTGAAAGATGCTGATGCATTGCCGGATCAATTACTGCCAATATATCGTTCATGATACTTCGAAGCTTAATAATTAATTCATTTCTTGAATCAGAAGCATCATCTGGATTAACAAATGGCACAGAATGGCCTAATTTGTTATTACTTGCCAAAGTACGATTGGAGTATTCGGTGTATTCCTCATCACTCGCCAAATACCATCGTTCCAACATCATCATTAATTGGGTGAATATTTCACTACGGATAAAAAGTTGAATGCAGTAACAACTTGAAAATAAAAATTAACTAGAAAAATAAATGATAAGGATAATAGATGACACTTCGCAGCATGTTTACTGCAACCTAAAACAAAAGACAAAATATTTGTCAATGTTTCCTTGTCAACCTTATTGGATACAAGAATTCAAATATGGATTTTATTGAAGAATGGCAAGAAAAAATGTTCAAGAAAATATCGCTAACATTTTGTTTTTGTTGATTAATAAAAAAAAAGATCAATTCGAGTTATCTAGAATTCGGTTGGAAGTTATATTTATAGAACGAAACTTCTGAAACTATAACCATAAGCGTAACCGAGTAAATGACAACGAGAAAAAGCTGATGCTAGTGAAAAAAAAAAGGCTTTTCATAACTTCTCAAAAACATAAAATTTCGACTTAATGTTTTAAAAGTTATAAAAATACAAAATTAATGGGCGAAAATATACAGGCATATATGTGCTTATGTTTAAATATAAAATGTGAAAACGTACAAGGAGTCGTGTTCAAGGAAGTCCTGATTATTGACAGCGCATAGAATTTTCAATTCTTCTGGTGGTAATTCTCTGAAATGAATTACAGTGATTGAAGCACTCAAATTTCGCATTTTAGAACATGATTGAAGAAGGTAAGTTATTGAATAAAACAGGTTTTTTTCATCAAATTAATAATTAATTAGCAAAATACTTCACATATTGATACGGACAGGAATTTATATATAACGAAGTGTAACGAATAAACACGAAATGTAACGAATAAATATATAAACTAGAAATTAAATAAAATTTGACAGGAATAATATGCGGCTCATAATGAATCGAAACAAATACACTTGAAATTTTTCTGCGCTCATCAAAGAGCCCAATGACAAAGTTAGCGGCACAAAAAACTTACTTCAATTCATTTTGTTCCATAAGATGAGCAAAAGTTTGTTGATCATAATTTAATACAAAAATTAGCGTAGCAAGTATTTCGTGCATACCCTGGAAAATTACATTTTGATGAGCTCTTTAAGTTAAAAATATGAATATAACAAGAATTTATGGACAAAAAAATTAAAGTTACCTGTTTATATGCAATGTCCGGATGATGTTTCGCATATATGAAGAGAATATCTGACATGACGGTTCGTATATTCTCATCTTTGAAATACTCCAATTCCGGAAATCTGAAAATTTTATCAAATTTCCAACTGCAAATAGAAACTCGTTTAAACGCAAGACTTTCATTCGAATCAAAAGGAAAACTGATAGAATATGAAAAACATGAACTTACGTTCGTTCTACGTCACGATTTATGCATTCACGTAGCTTGCAATCAATGAAATATTGTTGCCACGGATTCTGAAAATTGATAAAAACTCCAGACATAAAAGAAGGAAGCATAAATAATAAAATGAAGACAGCAAAAATGCATCACCTCATCACCAAGTGACAACGGATTGCTGACGTTTGGATCCAAAACCGATGTTTGCTCGCGCGGATTTGTCAACAGCTAAAAACTTAGAAAACAAAATTTAATGAATTTCCTGAAACATTCCCAAATATACGTTGCGTATATCATGCATTACAAAAACAAAAACTGTGCAAGATGGAATTAGTAAATTATGTTTAACTCCCCGTCTCTTTTTCTTCGTCTACGACAAATTGAAATCGTCGTGCGAAACTATAAGAGACACTTTTTGAATCCTACATTATTCACAATTTATGCTTTAAATACACATAATATTAACCTCAGATTTCAATTTATTATATGAATTACGGGTTCGCGACAGAATTGTACACCATTCTTCTCGTTCAAGAGGTAAACAACGAAGCAAAATCTAGAATATGAAATTTACTATAATTGATGGGATTTTTTGAGAAATTCAAAGGTAATATAATAAGTAATGCACTTAATTCTAAAACTTTACGTGATATTTTATGTTTATAAAGTGCGAGAATTAATTACTGCTTTTGCAGTCAAGGCATATCCATTTAAAATCCATTAAATTTTAATAGATTTCAAATAAATATGTCCTGACTTCAGAAAAATACAAATGAAAGAAACCAACCCTCCAAATAATCGATCGAACATGTGAACCCCGAAGCTTACCACCTAAACATCCTTTCTCTATTCGTTGCAAATTTACTCGTTGTCCAAAAAATTCCTTCCATTCTTTTCTGTGTATTTCACATAAAGAGTTAATAAATAATGAAAAATATGAAACATAAGAATATTTATACAATTTCCATTAGACATGCATTCATTTTTTTTTTTTTTCTAAAATATTACATTTCAGTAAATTGTAATAATTGATAACAGTTCCGATTAAGGAATTACTTGAAGTAATTCATAAATCTTTTAAATCTTTTAACAAAGAAAACATTAACAAATGTGAAAATAGATGATAATAACTTACGAAAATTTTATGTTTGAATCAAGTAAAATAGAATTCCTAGGACAAAAATGAATATACTTCTACATTTCGTTTCCTTTTTTTTTTCCCTACAATAATTATTATTATATAAAATGCAATAAGCTTACTGAAATATTGGTTGATGGCTTGAATTGTGCATGTCTAAAAAATGTTCAATTCATGAAATATTATTGATTTTTTGAATAATCAACTGAACATTAAAAAAAAAATCCACGGACATGTAATGGACAATTTTTTTTAGTATGTAACCATTGTTTCTCATGTTTTTTCTCTTTGCTTTCGCTTTTCAATTTGTTCATCATTTTTCCTTTGCTACTTGTTAGTATATGATAAATTCAAGAGTTACTGATAAAACAATGCTTTTTAATATTCCTAATAAAGTGCTATTTTAATAACCATCCATATATTGTCATTATATACAAATCTTTTAGAATAGTACTAAGCTAAATTGTAATAATTTCATAATGTTACCAATGCTCTTCCTTATCAGCAAACTGCATGAGGGAAAGCATAAATATATCAATCTTTTCCAGAGATTTCTCTTTCTGAAAGATTTATATTTCTTATACTTCCCTCAAAAGATTTATATATTTGTACTTTCTGGTAATTCTATTATTTTAGTTATCCGAATTCACTTAAATCTACCATATACGAATTTGAACTTACCTTCACTTTGTCCAGTTAGCAATAGATATGTTTCATGTATTTCATCAATTCAGGATATATACACTAATTTTATACACGATTATAATGTTATCACAATATAAGCCATAGGAAATAATCATCAGATACTGCTAGACAAATTAACCTCAAAACATTTTCAACATCAAACATTTGTAATAGCTTGAAATTTTCCCTTCTATTACCGAATACCTCTTTACGCCATCTTTGCGTCCCTTTCCCTCTCCTTTCTTTCATCATTGAACACCGGTAAGATTTATCTAAACTAGTAGTAATCTACAGAATATGGCTTTATTGCCATTCGATACAGCGATACTAATTTACATTGTGCATTATAAAACAGAACTTTTTGTGCCCATCTTTATTTTTTAAACACATTTTGCATACAATTGTTCAGATTTCGGGATTAGAAATTAAAGGAAGCCACAATAGTAAC